GCCGTGCGACAAGGAGGTCTTCTGGAAGGACAACTTTATCCAGCACCTCGAGGCGGTTCAGCCCAAGGTCAAGGCCTTGGTCAAGACAATTGATAAGCGAACTCTTCCTGAGCTGCGCACGCGTACTGAGGAGGCTGTGTTGAACCTTGGACGGTTCATTCAGTACAAGAAGAAGAACAAGGCATGAGGGGAAATCCGGAGGTTGGACAACGGAATCTCGAAGGAGCAGGGCGGGGCAACTCCTGGGATCTTAACATATCACGAAGCTTCCAAGCAGAGGTGTCAAAAGTACATGTTTTTGAAATCATGAAGCAAATCATAGCCACGATACAACGAACGGGAGGGAAAGGTGCTTACCTAGTAGACAAAAATGACCCCCGAGAGGGGATAAGGGGAACTTTTGGGGGAGGAGACACGAGCATTGCACTTCTGAGATGGTTAGGGACATAACCGCGGTGGTCAATAAACAACAAACTCACTGATTTGCTGATAAAACCATGCTGTACACATGCTTTGTGCCCGAAAATCCGTAGTCGAGACCTGTCGAACTGTAGTGAAGAACGATCCCCTTAAAACACCAGCCCACTTTCCGCCTGTAATAAGAAACCAATGCAAACCCATAGTAGGGCCCAAACCCCTTCCCCTTTCGTGGTGATGCCAGACTTCAACCAATAGGCTTCATCTTCTTCTTCTTCTTCCCGTCGCCCGACTTTCCCTTTTGGAAATCCCGCCAGCTGCTGATGCGCTGGTCCCGCGTCGCCTCCCAGTCCTGGTCGTGCTGCCTCTTTCGCTTCCGCTGCTCAATCTCCTCCTCCTCCTTCTTCTGCTCGCGGCCCTCCTCCTGCATTTGCGCCTTCATCTGCCGCCGCCGGCGGTGCTCGTTGTCGATGAGCACCTCGCGCGCCTTGTTGCGCCACTTTTTCGCAAAGTCGTCCGTCTTGAGCTCGGGGCTGTCGACGGTCCACTTGTTCTCGCGGATGAGGAGCATGCGGGCGTCGGCAATGGCCTCGTCGAGGCGCTCGCGATGCTTCTCGTCCATGAGCTCCGTCTGGGCCTTTTTCAGGCGGTCGAAAGCGTCGGGCGCGAGCGGGTTCTTGGTCTTGTCCGGGTGGATGAGGAGGGACTTTTTGCGGTAGCAGATTTTGATGTCGGATTCGGGGACGCCTGGTTGTAGGTCGAGGACGGCGTAGGCGTCTAGCCTGAAGGCTTTCAGGATTCTGTCGATTTCTGCATCCTGTAGAGCGGGGGAAAGGGGAAAATTGTTAGCTTTTGGCTTTGGAAGGTATGCACCTTGGTTTGTCTGGCGGTCGCATTTACCTTGTCGAACTCCTTTGCCTCGATCTCGAGCGCATCAAGTGCGTCCTTCTCTTCTTTGACGTCTTCACTGGCCATGATGATGACGGTTGGGCGGCTGCTGAGGGAAGTTGAAATTGACAGCCGTACCTCGGTAAACTAGCAATGAGGACTGTAGATGTAAGGAAGTTGAAGTTTGACAGTCGCGCGCGGTTGGTGAGCACGAGACGAGGCTCAGTGACAGCCACTTGGACCCGCTAAAGACCCTTGCCGATGAACGCTTGCCCCACGACGCTAAGATAAGACCATCCGATAAGGAATTTCTCGTCCCGCCCAAGCCCAAATTTTCGAAAAGACGCCGCCCAGCTCTTGGATGCTCTGCCGTTTCGCAAAACCCGCGCCTTGGGAAAATCAACTTTTTCGACGGGCCCAAACCTACGACCGCAAAATCCGGGGCCTCGCCAGAAAAACCACAAAGAGCTCCAAGATGCCTCGTCGCGCCGCATCTCCCACTCCCTCCGACGGAGAGGTCGACATCGCCGATCACTTGTTCGACAATGGCAGCGACGCGGGTCAGGATGTGGGAGACATTGACTTTGACATGGACGGGATCCTGAACGGCCACGAAGAGGGGCAGGAGGATGAGGATGGCGACGAAGCTTTCATTGCGCTGAAGCAGGCTGCTTCGTTCCGCAAGTCGTCTAACATCAAGGGAAAGTCGGTAAAGAGAGGTGGTGGTTTCCAAGCCATGGGTAAGTCGCCGAACCCTTTCTACAAGATCTTGCTTCTTTTGCTGGAGATACTAATCTTTGTGGCACGCAGGTCTGAACGCCGGTCTCCTGCGCGCGATTACGAAGAAGGGATTCTCCGTCCCCACGCCGATTCAGCGAAAGACGATCCCTCTGATCTTGGACCGCAAGGATGTCGTGGGCATGGCGAGAACCGGTTCCGGAAAGACTGCGGCTTTCGTGATTCCCATGATCGAGCGCCTGCGCGCCCACAGCGCCAAGGTCGGCACGCGCGCGCTCATCATGTCACCCTCTCGTGAACTTGCGCTCCAGACGCTCAAGGTCGTCAAGGAGTTCAGCAAGGGGACCGACCTGAAGTGCATCCTACTCGTTGGTGGTGACAGCATGGAAGACCAGTTCAGCATGATGTCGTCGAACCCGGATATCGTCATCGCCACCCCCGGTCGTTTCCTCCATCTCAAGGTCGAAATGGGTCTGGACCTGTCGTCCATCAAGTACGTCGTCTTCGACGAGGCCGATCGTCTTTTCGAAATGGGTTTCGCTGCCCAGCTTACTGAGATTCTCCACGCCCTTCCGCTGTCGAGGCAGAGTTTGCTGTTCTCCGCCACACTGCCGGCGTCTTTGGTTGAGTTTGCGAGGGCCGGTTTGCAAGACCCGAGCCTGGTGAGATTGGACGCCGAGACCAAGGTTTCCCCTGATCTCGAGAGTGCCTTCTTCTCCGTCAAGGGAGCCGAAAAGGAGGCTTCCCTGTTGCATATTCTGAACGACCTCATCAAGATGCCACAAGGCACACCAGACGGCGTTCCCCTGGATGTTGTACCGTCAAAGAAGCGGAAGCGTGAGGGTGGCGGCACTGGCAAACCGACGGAACACTCCACTATTATTTTCGCAGCAACAAAGCATCACGTTGAATATCTGGCGCAGCTTCTCACAAAGGCCGGTTACGCAGTCTCTCACGTCTACGGTTCACTCGACCAGGAAGCGCGTCGCATCAACACCGAGAACTTCCGAAACGGCAGAGCAAACATTTTGGTGGTGACGGATGTCGCCGCCAGAGGTATCGATATCCCCGTTCTCGCAAACGTCATCAACTACGATTTCCCTCCGCAACCCAAGGTCTTTGTCCATCGTGTCGGACGTACGGCTCGTGCCGGTCAAAGAGGTTGGGCATACAGTATCGTGCGCGAACTGGACACACCTTACCTGCTGGATCTCCAGCTGTTCCTTGGCCGCAGACTGGTTGCAGGCCACGAGACCGAAAACCCATCGTACGCCGAAGACGTCGTTGTGGGTGGTTTGAAGAGAGACAGAATCGAGATTAACATGGAGTGGATGGACAAGATTCTGAAAGAGGAGGGCGACCTGGAGGCGCTGCGTAGAGTTTCGACAAAAGCTGAGAAGCTGTACCTGAAGACTAGGCATTCTGCTTCAAGCCAGAGCGCAAAACGAGCCAGAGAGCTTGTGGGCACAAAGGGATGGCACGAACTTCATCCTCTGTTTGGTAAAGACGCCAGCGCTGTGGAACAAGCCCGCAACGACATGATGGCCAAGATCAGTGGCTTCAGGCCTGCTGAGACCATTTTCGAGATTGGAAAGGGAGGCAAGGGGTCGAGCAGTGAGGCAGTCGAAGTCATGAAGCAGCTGAGGAAACGCATTACACCACACCGCGGCAACAAGAAGGAGGAGCTAGACTCAGACGACGACATGGATGGTCTGAACGGTGCCGAGGACGACTCAAATGACGGACTCGATGGGGAAGTGGACGACGGCGCCGCAGAAGCCTACAACTCTGACGATTCCGACGACAACGACAGCCTCGAGGTTACAATCACCAACACAGGCGAGAAGGAGAAGAAGAAGAAGCCGGATTCCTGGCGCGACTCGGACGTTTTCATGTCCTACACCCCGAGAACGATCAACGCAGCCGAGGAGCGCGGCTACGGCGTCACGTCCGGCGCGCAGACGTCGAGTTTCGTGCAGGCGGCGCGCGACGTGCAAATGGACCTCACAAACGACGAGACGGCCAAGGGCTTCGGCGAGCCGACGCGGGCGGCGGGCATGCGCTGGGACAAGAAGCAGAACAAGTACGTGGCGCGGGCCAACGACGAGGACGGCTCCAAGGGGTCCAAGTTCGTGCGCGGCGAGAGCGGCGTCAAGATCGCGGCCAGCTTCCAGAGCGGGCGGTTCGACCGCTGGCGCAAGGCCAACCGGCTGGGGCGCATCCAGGTGGGCGGCATGGAGAAGGGCAACCTGCCGGACCTGCCGTCCGGTCGGCAGTACAAGCACAAGCAGGAGAAGGCGCCGAAGCAGGCCGACAAGTTCCGGGACGACTACGAGGTGCGGAAGAAGAGGATCGCCGAGGCCAAGGAGAAGCGCATCGGCCAGTACAAGGACGGCGCGGGCAGTCGCAAGGAGATCAAGGGTGTCGAGGACATCAGGAAGGCGAGATGGGAGAAGCAGAAGCGCATGGAGAAGAACGCGAGACCGCAGCGCAACAGGAAGTAGAGGGCGTCCGGTTCCGTGTGGGGATTTACACCATTTGTCAAAATATATCAAGGAAGAAAAAAGCGTTTTGTTCAAAACTTGTGCGGTATTTTCTGTGCTCGTCCAGGCTACTGAAGAATTCTTGTCATCATGTCAATGGACCAACACATTGGAGATAACTGATGAGCCATGTCCCCGGTGTCAGCAACCTCTTGGGGACGCGTAAGGTGGACGAAGTTGCCGTGGCGGAGTCTTTGCCAAATCGGAGCCGGTGGCCGCGAACTTGTTTTGTGAGGCCGTGACGTAAGGCAGCGGCACTGCACTTCCGGATGATGACTGCCAATTATCAACAACAAATTGCCAAGTACTAGTCGTCATTTCCACGAGATTCTTCTTTCAGGAATCAATCACTTCTCAAGAGAACACAATACCTAGATCAGTAGTCAGTCTATTCAGCATAATTAATTGCCCAAAATGGCAACCCCCAAACCTTCAAAACGCTGCCTCCTATGGGACTACACCAACACCCGCGACCGCCCAGACGCAATCGATCAACTCTTCACAACCACATCACCATCAGACTCTGCCAATAAGCCCATAGCAGCAGCAGGAGAAGCAACAGTACCGCTTACGGTCACCCCGTTCAAATCCGTCCACAACTGGAACGCATGGTACCCGCCCGAACTCAAGGGCCGGCTCCCCTTCCGGCCCATGATCCGCACGCGCGCGCAGCTGGACACGGAAGAGTGGGGCTGGATCCGCGACTCCGACGCCGAGATGGTCCACTACCTCAACGAACCGGAGCGGCAGGGGATCTCGCCGGCGGACGCCGCGGCCTGGTGGCTGAACAAAGTCGTGCCCGAGTTGCGGGAGAAGAGGGGCAAGAAGCTTGTTGGGCCGGCGTGTGCTAGCGATCCCGGGGGCGAGGCGTGGCTTGCGGAGTTTATGACGATTGTCTACGAGAACGAGAAAAATAAGAAGAAGAAAATGAGGCCAGATTTCCTTGGGGTGCACTATTACAGCGGCGATGTCGAGCATGCAAAGAGGTACTTGACGTCCATGTACGAGCGGTACGGGCTGCCGCTCAACGTGTCGGAGATTGCGTCTATCAGTCGGGACCCGGGCGAGGTGGAGGCGTTTACGGAGGAACTGAGCGGGTGGATGGACGAGAAGGAGTGGATTGACGAGTATGGGTGGTTTGGGTGTATGGCACACTGCGCTGACGACTTTGTGAGTCCTGCGGCGCAGCTTATGGATGGGGAGGGGAGGTTTACGCCGCTCATGAGGCGGTTGATGGGGGTGTGATCCATCACCGTCTTCAAGTTGCTGAAGTGAAGGGGGTCTTCGGTGGGTTTGATGGTGTTTCTCCTTGAGATTGGTAATACACACCTATAAAGTTCTGGTCGGCGATGATGCGGAATACGAAAACCGGGACGTATACTGGATTCCTAAGCAGAGTTGATCATTGGCATGCTAGTTCGATCATTCGTGGTAGAATCTGGAAACTCTCAGTCGATGTTGTGGGATGCGCTGTAGCAAGCCTGCAAGTTACGATGTTTCCGTCGCTTAGGCTAACGATCTTTGATCTGGATAGTGTTGCTGACTTTAGTATCTCGGAGCAAACATGAATCAAGCGGAAACAAGCCTTGGGTTGCGTCTTGGCTGCTTCTTTTCGCCTAGCGTCTCCCCGCCTCCACGGGCCTCACAAAAGAAGGCCTCACGTTCATGTCCCACAACCCGGAGATCATCGACTCCCAAGACCTTTATTCTCATTGCGTGCGTGGGAAGGCTCCCCACATGAGTCAGCCGCGCTCAAACTTTGATTGCCCGATTAGGCAAGTCAATTACATGCCGTACATGCACTTGCCGGGTCGCTCCCGTCCACTATGATGGAACGCAAAATGGCTTTCTCCCGGACTACTTCAAGCAACATCTTTGTAATTTCTAGCCCCAGTCAAGACAGCTTGTCTTTCGCCAAACCTTCTACAATCGAGTCAACTGACTCTATATTCTCTCATACTGTCTAGAAACAAGCCAATGACTTGGGATTTTGTTACGTACAGCCCACGTAATGGCAACCGGACATTCGGACTCATCTCGCAGGTTCCATCAGCTGGGTAGCACCAGTAAAGTCTATCAACGAATGAGAAAAGCAGGGAATGGGCCCTCAACTCTCTACGTCGTTGCCGTTGAGTCTTGGTTGCCTTTTCGGGACCAGCAGAGTGAACGTTATGATGCATTTGGACTTTCGTAGTTTCCAGTAGAGCGAGGAATTTTGCGTCGAGGCCAAGATGTCGAAAAGATACCGCTTTACAAATATCACGGCGTACAGCCAAAGTCGTAGTTGCATTGCTCCCTTCCCATCAGACTTTAAAGTTGATTGCAGACTTGCAACTTGAGCAGATCTTGAGCTATGAAAGCAACCGAAAAGACGGCAGACTCCTTCCAGGAGCATGCCTCAGGACAATCCAACAAGCCTCTCTCTCGACCACCTCACTCTTTGGAGGCTGCTCAGGTTCTCGAAGAACTCCATGTCGACGCAACCCAAGGGTTAGACCCCGACGATGCCATCCGTCGGTTGGCCGAATTGGGGCGCAATGAGCTTCGTCAACAAAAGGGCGTTCAGCCTTTGAAAATCTTTCTCGAGCAGATTTTCAACGCCATGACTCTGGTAAGTTGTCTTTCGAGTCTACAATAGCCAGACTCTCGCTAGTCTGGCTCGCGGAAATGCAAAACAACACGAGGTAACCATCGAAACTTGAAATAGGTCCTCCTACTAGCACTCGGCGCAAGTTTCGGCATCCAAGCCTGGATCGAAGGCGGCATTCTAGGCGGCATCATCATCCTAAACATCTTCATCGGCTTCTTCCAGACCCTCCAAGCCGAGAAGACAATCAACTCGCTAAAGAACCTCGGCAAGCCGACATGTAAGGTTGTACGGGACGGCAAGACGATCGAGATACAGACGGCCGACGTAGTACCTGGAGACATCATCGACTTGAACACGGGTGACTCGGTGCCGGCGGATATCAGACTCATTGAGGCAGTCAACCTGGAGGCGGACGAAGCGTTACTTACGGGAGAGTCCGCACCTGTCTCCAAGATGCCCAACTCGGTGTTTGACGAAGATATGGGCCCTGGGGATCGACTTAATGTGGTGTACAGCTCCACGGTCATCACGAAGGGTCGCGGGCGCGGCGTCGTGTTTGCTACTGGCATGTTTACCGAGATTGGTCTCATTGCTGGTGCATTGAACGGCGGCTCGGGAGATAAGTCTCGGGTGAAGCGCAACGAGGATGGGAGCGCTTCGATCTTTGCGTACTTTGCCGCTGGATACACGGCTACCAAATCGTGGATCGGTGAGTTCCTGGGACTTACCATCGGCACGCCATTGCAAAGGAAGCTCTCTCAGTTATTTCTGTGGCTGTTTCTGTTTGCTATTATCTGCGCCATCGTTGTTCTTGGCGTCAACAAGTTTGATTCTCGCAAGGATGTGATTATCTACGCAGTCACTACCGCGATTGGGACGATTCCTGTTTCTTTGTTACTTGTCCTGACTGTCACCATGGCTGCTGGCACCAAGAAGATGCTTGAGAGACACGTCATTGTTCGGAATCTGTCCAGTCTGGAAGCGCTTGGAGGAGTTAGCAGTAAGTGATCCATCTCCTATTGACCTCGGTGGAGACTATCTTGCCTCGTCATCGTTTAATCTCTAACCACCGTACATCTCAGATATCTGCTCCGACAAGACCGGTACGATTACCCAAGGACGTATGGTAGTCCGAAAGGCATGGCTTCCGGGCTGCGGCACGTACTCTGTCCACACCACGAACGACGTATACAATCCTTTTGCTGGTGAAGTCCAGTTTGCGGCTGGCCAACCAGAGGACATCGGCTCCGTCTCCGAGAAAGAGCACGATCTACGGGCCGAGCCGATTGATACGCACCACGAGCCTGCGACGAAGCCTGCTCTGCAATGGTTCTTGAATGTCGCGTCGCTAGCAAATCTGGCAACGTTAAAGCAGGCCGTAGACGATCCCGCCAGCTCTGGGGAGTGGACAGCTAGCGGAGCACCCACTGAGATTGCTATTGAGGTGTTTGCGTCCCGGTTTGGCTGGAACAGATTGCAGCTGTCCCAAGGCTCAGAAGCTTCTTGGAAAGAAATTGCAGAGTTTCCCTTTGACTCGGATGTCAAAAAGATGTCTGTCATCTTCAAGGATGTGGCCTCGGAAGAGATGCATATCTTCACAAAGGTGAGGCTAAACTGCACACATCAATCAACGTATATCTGTAATAGACTAACATGACCCTACAGGGCGCTGTCGAGCGTGTCTTAAGGTCTTGCAGCACTATCGCGTACGGTGACGATACCCGCACTCTGACCGACCGCTATAGAGAAGACATCATATCCAACATGGAGGTGCTGGCCGGCCAAGGTCTACGTGTTCTCGCGCTCGCACATCGAACTCTTAGCAGTGACCTTTCGGAAGCCCAATTTGCAGACGGCAAAGCCCCAAATCGCAACAACTTCGAAACTGATCTCACCTTCCGCGGCCTCATCGGCATCTACGATCCTCCCCGTCCCGAGTCCCGGCCTAGTGTTGAGATGTGCCAAGGAGCTGGCATCGTCGTCCACATGCTCACCGGCGACCACCCCCAGACAGCCCGAGCCATCGCCACAGAAGTTGGCATCCTGCCGCCGCCCGAAAAGCTCCGGCTCCTCGCTGCCGACGTTGCCGAGGCGATGGTCATGCCCGCACACGATTTTGACGCCCTGACTGACGCCCAGATCGATGACCTGCCGCAGTTGCCTCTAGTGGTGGCGCGATGTGCACCGAGTACCAAAGTTAGAATGATTGAAGCGCTTCACCGCCGCGGTCGGTACGTAGCCATGACTGGCGATGGAGTCAACGACAGCCCGAGTCTGAAGCGGGCCGATATTGGCATCGCCATGGGCTCCGGATCGGACGTGGCGAAGGAGTCTTCCGACATCGTCTTGACGGATGATAACTTTGCGTCCATTCTGAACGCCATCGAGGAAGGCCGCCGGATCTTTGACAATATCCAAAAGTTCATCCTCCACGTCCTGGCGGCAAACATTGGATTTGTGATTGCGCTGCTTACGGGGTTGGCGTTCAAGGACGAGACTGATACGTCGGTCTTTCTGTTGTCGCCTGTGGAGATTCTGTGGATGTTACTCGGTACGGGTGCTTTCTGTGAGACTGGACTTGGATTTGAGAAGGCGGTGCCAGACATTCTTAAACGACCGCCACAAAATGTGAGCATCCTACTCTGATGCGTTGGTGGAAGTAGTAAACTGAATACTGACGATGATATCCCAGCTCAAATACGGCGTCTTCACGCACGAATTCATCCTCGACATGGTGGTCTATGGACTCATTATGGCAGGCTGCGTCCTCGGAGCCTTCACCTTGGTTGTATTCGGCTTCAACGGCGGCAACCTCGGTATCGAGTGCAACAACGCCTACTCTACAGCCTGCGAGCCCGTATTCCGCGCTCGTGCCACGAGTTATACGACCATGACCTGGATCTTCCTCCTCTTCGCATGGGAGCTTATTGATTCACGCCGGTCTCTCTTCTACATGCCAGCGGGTTTCAAGGCTTGGGGCCAGCATCTGTGGGGTAACAAGTTTCTCTTTTTGTCTGTGACAGTTGTCTTTTTTGTTGTGTTTCCGACACTGTACATACCCGTGTTGGATCATGTGGTGTTTATGCATCATGGAATCAGCTGGGAGTGGGCGATTGTGTTTGTCGATGTTTTCATCTTCATGGCTGGTGTCGAGGCCTATAAGTGGGTGAAGAGAGTTTACGCAAGGAGAATGTTAGCCAAGGTTGACAGCGGATTTGCGGAGTCGAACGGAGCTCAAGTATAGAGTTGTTTGCTTGGAACCAGAGATAGTTGTGTGTAGACTTTGCCAATATTGTCAGGGCAGGTATTGGGCGTGAGCAATACCCCCAGTCTTTTCTTCTTCCTCCACATCTTCCTCGCTATTTGATTTCGTTCCCATTCTCTCTTGAGCTTCTTCTTCTCTCAGGATCCTCCTCGCCTCCATTAGCGCTTTGCCCAAACGATTCTCGCCCCAATTCGCCTGGTTCACCATAGCCTCATCCGCCTTGAACCCGATGCCCCATATGCGGTCAGTCCTCGATGCCTCGACCAACAACCTCTCCCTTGTGGACATCAAAATCGCCTTGAGGTGCGGATTCTGCCCAAACTTGGCAATGCTGCCCACTTCCACGACCTTGCTCTTGACCTCATCCCACCTCGCGTCGTTGAAGCCCACGGTGCCTTTGCCGAGCTTCTTCTGCTCCTTGGGGTCCTTCTCCTGCATGATACGCGCCTGTCGCTGCGTGTCGCCGAAGTAGGCTGCCTTGCAGTACATCATGAACTGTTCCGCGCAGGTGACGGTGATGCTTCCGTACGGGTCGGCGGGGTCAACTTCGCGGCCGCAAAGGGCGGAAATCTCTTGTTTCGAGACGGTGAAGACGGAGGGATACCATTGACAGAATTGGTGCCATGGCCACTTCTCTTGCGGCATGTGGAAGAAGACGGGTAGACTAGAGTCATCGCTATCGGGAGGATCGGAGGATGGCTGTTTTTTGTCGGGCTTCTTCTTTGCTGGAGACATATTTTAAAGTTGTGTGACTGATTCTTGTTTCGTCGTGGCTTTGATGTATTCAAGATCAAAGGCTGCTGTCTTATTGTTCTTTCCTTCCTCGGAATTGAATATATACACAGAAGGAAAGAACCTTGAACCATGGGAACGACCACAACATCAGAAAGGTACACCTTCTGGAGAAAGATGCCTCCTTAATTGATGACTTCTCGCCGTTACATACTGAAAGTCAAATCGCCAATAAAGTGCGCCTACCCAAGCCACGCGAGAGCATAAAGTTCACGCTGCTTTCATCTGCCAACGTGTTCTACGAATATCTGAGCCAAGGCAGTAATTCGGAATGCAATGAATACAGAGAGACGACAGTGAAACATAGATAGAGAAAGATCATGTAAGTCATGGCTACATGCCTAATCCCCAAGTTTTGGTGATTGGTGGTCGATTAAACGCTCTCATTGACAGAAAGTCAGGATGTTTAGAATCATGAAGTATCTAGAATCATCGAGCTTGTATTTTTCTTAGGGTTCTTGATGGAGATGTATCACTGGAAGACGTAAGAGTCTCTATGCGTAAATCTACTGGTTTGAGGGAGGCGGTTCATCATGGATCATCCCGAATACCCTCAATAAAAATACAATGACTTGGCGCCCTACTAAGGTTGCAGAGTGAGCGCTAGCCCTTAGAAAGGGTCTGTTTTCCTCGTCACTCATGAGGCAAATGACTTCGGCCTTCGATCAAGCCCCGCCGTTGAGACATTGGCCCTTTCAAGACCAAGCTTCATCCATTTTATCGTAGCAAGCGGGCGATGGATAATGAGACCGGCTTACACACGAGTGACCCCTTTCTGAGAACCACTAGCACTGGAATCACCGCGTGCTTCTCTTCAGAGCGTATGTGGAAGACTAGAAGAAAGGCCACTTATAATAGCAGTAGCAGTCGGAGTTGCCTTTGCTTTAGTAGGGCCAAAAGGAAACTGATAAAAGAAGTACTGACATACGAAATAGATACTGTGCTGCACACTTGCTTGGACACAGCAACATGGGTACATGTCGACTAACTCAGAGAGGAATCCATGGAGTATAATCACCTTCCACTCAAACCAACATCACATCGGATCTCGCCGCCGTTGTTACACGAGTCAGCCCTATGGAGCTCTGAATGACTCGCAGCCCCTCAACCCTTGCGGGTAGTTGGGCATACCAAGACCGAGTTCCCGAGTGGGCGAGGACTTGGGATCGGAATGCCACGATGGAGACTGGGTCCGGCTCCTTATAAGACCACTTCAGGAACGGATCTAAGCGGATAAGCGTAAATATTAGGTGAGATATGGGACGAGGTGCCCACAGTTGCATGTGGTGGGCAGCACATTTCTGGAAATGCGGCCGGAGGTCCGTGTGACGGTTGAAGATTGCCATTTTGATGAGGGTCTGCTCCTGGATATCACGACAACGAGAACTCGTTGGAGGAGGAGCAATAAGTCTGCAGTCTCGCCATACGTTGGAACGCCAGTTTTTGCTTGCCTTGTCACGATGAACTTTGTGTATAAGACTTTGACCTTAGGAAATGCTCGCAGTTTTCAGCGAGCAATTGTGAATATGAACTCTATGTCGTTTGAGTATCCATCGTACTGCAGTAGTGTTGTGCAAAAGAAACAACGAAGAAGCTCTTAGCAAACCTGCTCACCACCTGCTTCTTTTCATGACTCGAGATGCCTGATCTGGAGGGTGCTGATTTGAACAACTGAAACGCGCATGCCCTCGATATTCTTGGCCAACCTGTTAGGGGGAACTTTTGGATTGAGCCTCCTGCCATTTGGACCGTAAATAGTGGTTTAAATGGGGAAGACTTCCCAATTTTGTACGTCAATGCAACTCCAGACTTCCTTTATGGGATGCTCCCCAGCTACGCCCCTGGTTCCAACGTGGAGAGGGTTCTTTCATTCCTGGTATCCTAAGCCGATGGGATTTGACATGTCAGAAACGTGGCATGCATGTGTCGTAGAATCCTTATTTCTCAAGGTGCGCAATTCCCATGCTGTGGCCGGCTGGGCAGCCAGGGGGCACCTTTTTGGGTAGCTTCAAAGTTGGTAACGAGAAAATCAGGAGCACTTTTGTCGGGCACGTTTTAATTGCTTCCAATCAGCTTGCCAGGAGGCGCTTGTAGATGGAAGACTTATGGGGGTTATGGGTATCTGCCTATCAGGCCATCACACTGCATTCCCTTTTTCGAGTAGGGTATCTGGAGCATGACAGATTGAGTTCAATAACTAGGCAGGCTTCGGATTATCGTGAGACGGATGGAACCACTCGATGAAATGGATGTGAGTCTAAGTATAATAGGGGCTTCAAGCCCATCTCATGGTTCAGATTCGAATACAGGCTACCCTCAGACATCTTTGAGAGCCATTGTTAGAGTCGTGTGATCGAATCATTCTCTGGTCTCTTTACTGCAGTCTCCTGTAAGCCCCAAGTGCCACAGTATTGCTTTTCCAGCACGTTCAAGCTGACATCATGCCCAGGAATCCAGTGCAAGAACCAAGATGAAGACGATCGGTACACTCCTCCTCGCCACTCTGGCCAGCCAGGCCTCGGCAGCGGTCCAGATGGAAGTGCGATTCAGCGATAGGATGATCGACGTCGGGAACCTCGACCTCTTCGCCGTGACATGGCAAACCATTTACGGAGAGACCGGCAACACCAGAGCCATCATGACGGACCGCTCCACCGGCGCCCAGACCAACGAGTGCACACACGCCGACGACTACGACCCGGACGTGACAGTTCGAGTCAAGATGAACGGCGCCTGGGGGAAGACGCCAGGCCTCGAGGGCAACGAGATGCGCGACGGCCTCGTCCAGTCCATGTGGGAGGTTCTCAGCAGAGTCTCGGACCCTTACGGATACGAGGTCTTCAACGGCTGCCGGGGACTGACGTGGATGGAGGGCGTCGGGTACACGCCCGACGCGGCGTGTGGTCCCCAGAGTTCGAGAAATTGTCAGTACGCGTGCCGCAGGGAGAACTCGCCCGGGTTGGCGCAGTGCATGAACCATACTTGGGGCCACAAGGTGCCGTCGTCGCTGCGGGTGACGGCGTACATTGACGGTCAGCTGCAGCCTGATGACTTGATTATTGAGTTTTCGGCTACTGCCAACTCGGAGAGCGGTGGATGCGGCTGGGTTGGGAGCATTGCTGGTGCTCTTGCTGGATTCATTCCTGTTGGAGGCAAGCTGTTTGCCAAGGGTATTGAGATCGGTTGCAGCGATTGAGCTTCACTTGCCACCAAGTGAGTGATGGAACTTTGGTCCGAGTTGATGCTGCTATTCAATATTAGACATTTGTCAACCTTTTAAGCTTAAATTCGCTTTATGTTGATCCTTCGTGTGATCGAGGTCAAATGGCACTTACCAAAGTCCCTTTGGCGTGAGATCCATGTATCATTGTCCTAGATTGCGGTTGCATCGGCAGATTCCAGCAATCAAAATTGTCCATTTTCTCAAGGATATTATAACCTAGAGTAATATTGCGTGATGATTGGGCTGCGCCGGAGCTAATATCAACCATCAGGTTAGATTCTTATCCAGGCAACAACATGAAAACCACCCAAAATTCCGCGATTCCCTCAACTTTTTGCACCATGACAGTCCCAATTCAGGATCTTTGTCACACATCCAGTTACCATTCACCTTCACCATGCCGACGCCTACTCTTTCCGGGACAGTCCTCCTCAACCTAGGACCTCTGACGACAATATGGACAGCCCCGGCATCATGCGCAACCTCAACCCCAACCCCGGCGCTAGCTCGCAAATTTGATCCGGGCGTGGCATACTGGCAACAAACCTGCGAAGTCGACCGCGACCCATACGACGACTGCATCCCCTCCGGCGATGCCATGAACTCAGAATACCACTCACGCCGGACCTATACTGAGCGGTTCCTCTTCCATTATTCCCCGGGCAGCCAGTGTCCCTCCGGATGGGTCACCGCAGGCTACGGTATCCGCGATGAGACATCGTCGCATTCATTGAGCGGCGTCTTTGCCGACCCGACGCTGACCTTCGACGCCGGGACGACCACGTCTATTGCGTCGGAGATCAACCCCACGTTTGAGTTGAGGGCGGATTTGTTCATGTCTGCGATGGAGCCTTCGGAGACTGTGATCGCGTGTTGTCCGAGGTAAGCTCAGCACCCTTTTGAAGTTAGCTCTCCTTCTCGAAAGCTGGGAAAGGTCTGATGATGTGTTCTTCTTTTTCTTAGTGGGTATACCGCGGGACTATATGGGAACTGCTACTCTTCGACCGCCAGAGAGGTTTACACTGCGTCTACAGGTTGCAAGTTGTACAATGTAAACGATGTGGAAGTGGTAGACCGCACGTTCACTTTCCACGGGAGAGTCGTTACAGGCAGCTCCATATCGATCAAGGGCTCGGTTGTTTCGTTGCAACCGAACACAGTGACTATTGAGGCAAAGGACAGCACGAGTTACGTTGGCGCGTTGATCACGCCTGGGATCACGCTTGTGAATAAGGGTCTTTCTGAGGCTGCAGTTCAGACCTCGGCCGCTGGTTCTGGAGAGAGTTCGTCCACGGGCCCGACTGAGACGCCCAGTTCTGGAGTTTCTTCTAAGGCCGCCGGTTCGTCTTTGGTTAATGGCGTTATGATGGCTGTTTGTGGAGTTGCGGTAATGGCGGGTGCCGCTCTCATGGTGCCTCTTTGATATTGACAAATCCGCCGATCACACAAATACTCTCTTTCTCATGAACCTGCATACATTACATTACATACTTGCATAGAAGTACAATTATGAAGACTGATTCCGCCTCATTCATTCCCGCTCTACGAAGTAATTCTAGTCGAGAGGTCTGGCCGAGTCATTTACATAATCGGTGGACCCTCCTAGCTCAACTCTAAGTGGACAACCCCAAAATGCACGCGAAGCGAGTCCCATCCCTTTGCGGAGACACACACAACAAAAACGTAGCAAACTCTCTCACTTCTGCTCACCGTCAATCTG